AACAGAACCAAGAGCATACATATATATTCATGTATATATAAAGAGATTTATTATAAGAAATTGGCTCATATGACTGCAGACAAGTCCCAGTCAAACAGCTGGAGACCAAGAAGGATGATGGTATAGTTCCAGTCCAAGTCTGAAGGCCTGAGAACCAAGAGAACCAATGGTATAAATTCCAGTTAGAAAGCTAGCAGGCTCTCAACCCAAGAAGACCTGATATTTCACTTTGAGTCTGAAGGAAAAAAAAGATCGATGTCCCAGATCAACCTGGGAGAGGGTCAGCATTTTTGTTTCACTTGGACCTCCAACTGATTGAATTAGGCCCATCCATATTTTAAAAAAGGCAATCTGCTTTACTCAGTCTACAAACTCAAAGATAAACCTAATCCAAAAATACCCTCCCAGATGCACTCAGAATAATAATTGACCAATCTGGGTATCCCATAGCCCAGTCAAGTTGACACATAAAATTAACTATAATCTATATAATAAAAGCTTAAGCGACCATTACAGCAGAACGACCAGGACTACCTGTCGCTATGATGCGCACTGACCACGAGGGGGCAGATGTTCAATGCAGGAGCTGCCCCCTGGTGGTCAGTGCACTCCCACAGAGGGGGTGCTGCTCAGCCAGAAGGCAGGCTCACAGCTGGCAAGTGCAGCGGTGGTGGCGGTAACTTCTCCCACCTCCATGACAGCGCTAAGAAGCAATGAGCCAAGCAGTAAGGAGCCTGCGGCTAAGGACCAGCAAGCCAAGTGATAAGGAGCGAGCAGGTGAGCAGTAAGGAGCAAGGGATCTTAGATTGTGAGAGGGCACAGGCTGGGCTGAGGGACCCCCCGCATCCCCAGTGCATGATTTTCGTGCACCGGGCCTCTAGTAAGGGGCAAAATGATAGAACAAGGAGGGTGGTCTTAAGGGAGGAAGTTTTCAAGCAAAGGAACAGCAAGTATAAAGGCTTTATGGGCCAAAGATGGCACTATGAGGCCCCTAGACTTTTGAGATTCAGAAGATAACACCTACTGGTCTAAACTTCAGAACACTCAATTATATACTAATTCTGAGCACAGAAATCACACATCCTGAAAGGTCCCTAAATATCCTACCTGTGTGTGCTTTTGTATCCTATATGTAAACTTGTATTTCACCAGCCTGTCCCCCACCTGCTACTGAAGGGCCTCCAGTTTTCCATAAAGTCCATCCTGTGAAGTTATTTCTGGAGGTCCTCAGAAAACTATTCATATAGATCAGTGTTTCCATCAGGGGTGACTTTGCTCCCCCAGGACATTTGGATATATAGAAAATAAGACATTTTCAGTTTTTACACCTGGAGGGGGTGCTCCTAGCATCCATTGGGTAGAAACCAGGGATGCTTATCAATACTCTTCAATACATAGGATGCCCCATCACAAATAATTATCCAGTCCAACAGACAAGTGCTGTCAGCTATCTCCTATAATCATTAGACAAGTCTAAATATGGGACCTCTTCTTATCTGACATTTCAACTATGATATTTTTTGGAGTTACTTCTCCAGACTCCAGGGCTAGAGGCATTCATCCCAGATAGTTTATGCCTTGTGGTCTTCTTGACTCCGACTTCCTCCAGTAGAGTCCACACCCTCTTCCTCCAGAGGAGTTGCTTACCCTGAGTACCTGCAGTTCCCATCCGCAATGTCTCCATGTATACTTTGTAAAGATGTAAAATAATTAGCCCTTCAATGTCTGCTCTAAGTTTTATGGACCTTGTTACATTTATTCCTAGAGAAAAACAATATTTTACCTATTTCCCAAATAAAGTTATTAACACTAATAGAAATCAAGTAGCTTTCCATATTATTTCACTCATGTGGAATTTAAGGAACAAACTGAACTCCCAAGAAAAATAGAGACAGACTCATAGATAGCTTTCCCAACATGTACTGTTAATAAAAATAAACCTGGGCCCAGCTGGTGTGGCTTAGTGGTTGAGCATTGGCCCATGTGTCAAGAGGTCACCTGTTCCATTCCAGGCCAGGGCACATGCCCAGGTTGTGGGCTTGATCCCCAGGAGGGGGCACGTGGGAGACAGCTGACCAATGTTTCTCTCTCACATTGATCTCTCTCTCTCTCTCTCTTTCTTCTTCTCTCTCTAAAAATAAATGAAAACATTTTTTAAGAAAATAAATAATGGTTTTAGGTTAGAACCAATTCTGACTCCTAAACTGTGCTCTCAATCAGTGAACTACACTGCATGAAACTTAGAAAGGTGACCTCCCTCCATGGTTCACCTTGGCTTTGCCCATGTCCATGAGACCCTTCTCACATTCCCTATTCTGTCATTCTGAAAGAGATCCAGCTTAACAAACCATGAGCAAGTAACAAAAATTTGTGGGGAAATTTATCACTGTAATTTTTTTAAAAAAATTTCAGTTAAACCACCTTTGTTCTTTCCTCAAGGCCCTTTTCCAATGCAAGTTTCTTAACATCCATCTGTCCAATACATACACAATCTATATAATTTCTTCTGTTGTACTGAGCAATTCAGCTTTCATACTTAGCTTGCAGATCCTAATAAAAAGAAAGAAAGGAAGCAGGAGTTATATGTTCTTTCCACCTAAAAAGGCAAGAGGTAGTCTTTTCTTATTTACAGTATTTATCTTTATTGTTGAAAGTTGTACAGATGCAGTCTTAAGAAACAATAGAAACTCGTGGGAGTTTCTGTCTCAGAACTTTATCAAAGTTCATTCGCAATAATCCTTTCATGGGACTGAGGGAATAGTGGTATGTATACATTTGTCAAAAATTTTTTAGATTTACACTTGAAATAGGTTAGTTTTATTCTGTATAAATTATTCCTCAATAAAACTGATTTTTAAATGTCTACTCAGAAGGATTGTCTCTATAACAACAAATACATCCTATGTGCCAGATAGCTAAATAAATGATGGTACATCTCTTAAACACTGAAATTTTATCAGCCCAAACTGAAATTTCTTTTAAGACTTTTAGTAGGAAAATGAAAAAAAAAAAATGAACAAAGCAACTCTTAAACAACATAATTTTTTAAAATAAAATAAAATATCTAGAAGGAAAAACAAAAGCAGCCTTCACAGTTGTTCCTCAATGTTTTATTAGTAGTAATTATTTGTATTTGCTTTCCTATGTCTTTCCAATTTTAAATAATGTACTTATATTACTATTTTAAGCATAAATAAATGAACAAAAAATGTAAAGGCTTTCTAAGAACCTCTACTTACAGAATGAAAATAAAATGCCTTAGTTCTTCTCATAGGCACCCTGAGGTGACCTCTGAAAATGGGTCACAATTCACTTGACCCAGAAGACCCCACAAAATCATGCAAATCAAGAGGTTCAGATCTTCATGTTCACTTTAAGAAGACTTGTGAAACTGTCCAGGCCATCAAGGGCATGCATATCCGAAAAGCCACCAGGTATCTGAAGGGAGTCATTTTACAGAAGCAAAGTGTGCCATTCCATCGTTATAATGGTGGAGTTGGCCAGTGTGCCCAGGCCAAACAGTGGGCTGGACACAGGGTCGGTGGCCCACAAAGAGTGCGACATTTTTGCTGCATATGCTTACAAATGCAGAGGGTAATACTGCACTTAAGGATTTAGATGTAGATTCTCTGGTCATTGAGCACATACAGGTGAACAAAGCTCCCAACATCTGGTGCAGAACTTACAGAGCTCATGGGCAGACTGACCCATATATGAGTTTTGCCTGCCACACTGAGATGATCCTCACTGAAAAAGAGCAGATTATTCCTAAATTGGAAGACAAAGTTGCACAAAAGAAAAAGATATCCCAGAAGAAACTGAAGAAACAAAAACTTAAAAGGCTCAAAGTAAATTCTGCATAAAGTACTAGTAAATGCTACTAAAAAGTAAAAAATGAATAAATAACTAAAATGCCTTAGAATGGCCCTGACCATTAGTCTCCACCTTTCTTCCTCAGAAATTGTGTATCTTCTCTGTCAAATGTATTCTCTCAGGCTTTGTAGCCTTTGCATGTGTTATTTGCTCTGTGGGGAAATGGTTGTTCTCACACCTCATCCATCTCAGGCCTTCTAGTCTCCCTTTAAGAACCAACTTAAGTATTCCCTCTGTTCTTCTTTCAAAGAGTTTTCTGCTTTCTGCTACTCACATATGCTATCCCATTGTACCATAAAGGATCACATATTTCTTTTTCTATATTAGTTATGAAGGATTAGGCTGTATATAGTAAGAACAAATAACTCCCAAATCTCAGTGGCTTAACACAACAACATTTTGCTTCTCAAACATGCCCAATGTCCACATGAATTCATAGGAGAGTCCACTCTCAGGAACTCAGATTGTTGGAAGTTCCACCATCTCAGCTGCATACAATGGCAGAGAGCAACAGCAAAGAACCACGCATCAGAATTTTATTACATCATCCTAGAAGAAACATGTGTCACTAACTGTCCACATTTTACGGCCAGCCCATATTACTGTATCTGCCTACCTGTAAGAAGGTTGGCAAACTTTAAAAAGAATATGTGGTGAGCTTTATTGTTTCTAGCACACCCTCAACACTCAATGAGTTCTCAAAAGCCTGGAACTGTTCTATACTCAATTTTATATCACCTGAACAGAATGCAAGGCATGGATTTTAGTAGATTAATAGATACTTGATAATCCATTCAATATATGAATAAAGAAGTGTTTTGGTACTAAAAAGAAAAATGTTTAAGGCATGACCCTGCCTGAGAGAAGCCTAAATCCAGTAAGAAATATTAATCATAGATTTAATATTAATCTGTAGATTTAATTATATGCTTCAGAGAGAATCAGTAGAATTTGAACATTTTCAAATTTTGCAGAAGGAGAAATTAAATGGGTAGTAAAGAAGGTAGCAATGACCGTAACAAACCTGTGGTGTTTTCAGGTACCTGATTATGATATACTGAGTAATGATCTGGCTCCCACCAGATATCCACATCCTAATCCCCATAACCTGTAAATGTTACCTTATATGGCAAAAGGGCCTTTGCAGATGTGATAAAGGACCTCAAGATGAAGCAATTGTCCAGGGTTATCCAGATGGGCCCAAAGATGTAATCACCAAGTACTTAGGAGAGAAGGCCAGGATATCCACAGGATCAGTAGTAGATGTGACCACAGAAGCAAAAGTCTGGAGTGACGTGAGGAAGGGACAAGGAATGCAAGCAGCTGCTAGATGCTGAGAAAGGAAAGGAAACAAGTTACTCCTCATAGCCTCCAGAAAAAACAAGCACCTTGACTTTAGCCTAGTGAGACTGATTTTGACCCTGAGAACTGTTATGAAAATAACTGCATTGTTTTAAGTCACTGAGTTTGTGGTAATATTTTATGGCAGCCACAGAAAATTAATTCACTGATCAATCTGTCAAAAAATTAAATAAAATTATATGGATAAGGTTAAGAAAGACTTGTATAGACAAAGAATAGAGTCAATGAGAACAGAAAGAAAAACTAGCATTAAAGCACATAAATCGTCACTGAGCACAGTCCTTGGTACCTTCCAAAATGTTTCTCCATTTAATCCTTACACTAAGCTGCAGGGAGGTTAACATCTTCACTTCATAAATGATGAAACTGTGTTTTTGAGAGATTAGGTAATTTACCTAATGACTAATGAGTGGAGAATTCAAGATTTGAACTCAAGTCTGTCTGACTTAGATATAAAAAGACTAAATAGTCATATCAGCGTAATATAAGTCAATAAGATATATAAAATTATTTCCCATGCACCAGTTCAACTCATCATTACAATAATCCTGTGAGGGAGGCAGAGCGGTATTACTGTTTATATTTTGCAGATGAATAAACCAAGATTAAAGTTAATGAACTTATGGAGATCACAGGGCTGTGAAACGGCTGGTCCCACAGCCACTGAGGTGAAGTGATGAAGTGATGAGGTGAAAGGTGCGAGTGCTGCACGGAGCACCTTGGAGCTTTAAGATTCTTGTTTCTGGGAGAGCCAACTAGTGTATCTTCTGAGTATACAGTAATGGTCATTCTTTAGAGGAAGAATTGGTGGAACTTGATGACAAATCTTTGTACAAAATTATTAGGAAGAATAAAGAGGTTTGTCAGCAGGCACAGGGAAACTGTTCTATTTTAAATACATTTCCGGTATTGATCCTTACCTGATATGTAAGTGATGCCTCACAAATATCTGTTGAACCAATTGAAATGTTCATGAAGAATTTACATAGCCATGCAGCTGTTAAAAAGGGGGAGAGGGGTCTTTTACCCTTTGAGACATCATGGAAGGACCTGGAGAGTATTATGTTCAGCAAAATAAGCCAGTAGTCAGACAAAGATAAGTATCATATGATCTCACTTATATGTGAAATCTCCATAATGAACAGAATAGACTGATGAAGAAGTTACATAACCAAAACTTGGGAGAGAGGCAGCCTTGACCCGTGTTCTTACACTTAAGAAGTGTAAGAAAAGAAATAGATGTTAATGTTGTAAGAATAATTGAGCTTTCTGAGGGAGAAAGTAGCTATAAGAAAGAGAGTTTGCCTCACAAAATGGCGTGATTCCCCTGGTTTGGGAAATTCTTGTGTGTTCTAGAGACCCCATTAAAATGCAGAGCAGCTGGTGAGCTAGCAGGTGTTTAGTCGGTGTCAGCCAACCCCTCAGAGACTTTGTTTCCTACTGAAATTGGCCACCTTACAATGCTAGGGACAAGAACAAAGCTTCCAGGAAGCCAGGGTATGAGTTGCAAAAGGAACCTGAATAGGAGATGGGAAGGTGACTATAACAGACCAAAGTAATTTCTCAATTTTGTCTAGCACGGGTCCTCCTCTTAAAGACAGTGAACACCACATAGTCTTATCAGAATTTCTATGACAACTACCAGTCTAGCTCTGCTCAAAGTGTCAACTATGTCTTTAAAAAGAAATGACTTCTGTGGCTATTTAGGATGTATAGGAAATCTGAGTTCCTTCCCTTTTGGGGTATGGATACTGGTCCCAACCTCATTTAATGAAAATAAGAGGAGTTACCATTGCTGGACATTTACCATGTGCCCCTGGATGTACTTTGGATGAGTCACCACAACTTGGCATAACCGGCTGCATGTGAGTGGTGACCACGCTCATGTACAAATCTGAGGCTCTGTACATGAGCTGCTGCGGGTGGAGTTAATATAAATCTTTTAGATTTCAAAGCTTCTAGAATATTTTCCTTGAGGGAGTGGGCACCCCTATGTTTGAAATAAGCTGGGGTCCAGCTATAGAGAGAAAATGGGAGAAATTAGAAACTGGAATAAATTTCTAAACCCTCCTCCAGCAACTGCTATCCAGCCTAGCACATCACAGGTGCCTATTTATGTGTTGAATTCAATTCATAAGCTCCTGACTGACTTCAAACCCCTCTAGATTTTGCTGTGATAAGGGACCCCTAAAAATGATTTGGTTAATTAAAGCTTTAGCGTAACGTTATTCTGACAAAATCCACAAATGTATCCCTGTGGAATCTCTTTTTCAGTGATGAGGTGAAAGGAAGAATAAAGAGATCTCTCAGCAGGCACAGAGAGACAGTGTTTTATTTTAAATACATTTCAGGTATTGATCCTTACCTGATACATAAATGCAATTTAGAAGAATACCTTATCCTGCAGGTACCTAGCAAGGAAGAGAGACAAGGCATCCTCAGTGGACTTTAAGGATATGGTTATTATTCTTACTTATTACCTGTAGAGTGCAGAAAATAAGTATGATTTTAGCAAGAACAAAGTGTTTACTCTTTGTGCTAAACAGTCACAGCCTGAACTAGGAAAACAAAACATACCGGGCCCAAGATACAATGCTCAGGGGTGTGACTAATGCCAACGATGCAGGCATAATTATTATTTATTTATTTTTCTGGCTCTGCTGTGGGAACCTTGGGTCTCCATCTCTGTGAGTTTCAGAAATCTCAATCTTCAGGAAGTGATTCCAGCCACACCTTTCATCCTAATCCCTAATTTAGTTCAGGAAACCAATAAGCTACAAATGGACACACCAGGATGTTTTCTTAACCCTCAGTGGGGACTCAAAGGCAAGAGTGTTTATTCATCCCTATATTCCTCCTTAGGTCCTTGTTGGGATTAGTACATCTGACAGGGCGTCAGTGTATCCCCACAATAGGCCCAGTTTTATTGGCAACCAAATAGGTTCTTCAGTTTAAGATAAAAATCATAACACTCCATCCATGATCAAAACAGAGAACTTTGTTACTCCGAGATCCTGGAAAAGAGCCCAGAAGAGTATTATAAACAAAAGGAAAGACACATTCTAAGGAGTCAACTGTTGAAAAAGTGTTTTGCTCTCAGGTAACATGGTGCAAGCAGAAGAAGAAAAGTTTAATTCCTATGACTCTCAGAATTTCCAAAAGAACACTTAAAATCTTCCTAGCAATGAGTCCATGTCCACCATAAAACAGACTTTGTGTTCGAGGCCCTAAGAAAAAAACAGAATCTATATTTCGATGTTAGTCATTTGAAAAAAATTATTTTTAAAAATAATGAACTACTGGCATTTAATTGTTTGCCTAATGTCTTCAAAATGTACTATAAATATTTGAAAGGGAAAGATGGTTGGCAGGGCTACATTTTCTCCTTAATGCAAATCATATGTGTTTTTAAATAACTTGAATTTTAACTTACTTATTTTAGTTGTTTTCAGGGTTTTTTTTTTATTCTTTATTGTTTAAAATATTACATATGTCTCCCCCCCCCCCCCCATTGACCTCTCCCCGGCCATTCCCACCTCCCAGCACATGCCCTCACCCCCCTACTGTCTGTGTCCATGGATTCTGCTTATATGCATGCATACAAGTCCTTTTGTTGCTCTCTTAACCCCCCTCCCTCCCCTGCCTTCCCTCTGAGGTTGGATGGCCTGTCGATGCTTCTCTCTCGCTGGATCTATTTTTGTCTACTTTTCTAAATTTTTGTTTTAATGAGTCATTTCACTTCTACAATATTATGATATGCTTCTTAAAACCAGGTGTTCAAATTTTAAAAAGTGCAACTGAGAATTTTAAGCTTTAAATCTCAAATCTATAAAATTCAGTGACTTTTTTGTAACTCCAAGGCTGTGGCCTTGAATGATATTCACCCTTCAAATTCTGGACTTTAGAAAAACATTATATATGTGTATATCTATCTATATATACTTATATAGAAATATGTTTTATATATATATATATGCATATGTGTATACACACACACACACACACACACACACACACACACACACATATGTCTCCATCTATTCTTACTTATAATCCAAATTTCCTTCCCGGAAAATCTCTTTAATAATATCTTAGAAATTATATCTGGTAACAAGTTTATTGAACTGTGATAGAAGTATTTTAAGCAAAAGAAAATTATCCAAAGTTATTTCTTTTCATTTGAATTACTGACTATAAATTTGATATCTGTCCGTACATGTAAAAGACATTGAATTTTGGTAAGCTGATGATCAGCCTAGTATTAAATAAAAATTGCCTATTTTGGAAAGAGGAGAGATGTTACAAATCATGTTCAAGAGCAATTATATGGGGGAAGCCACCTATTGTCTTCTCTAGCAGAGAGGTGTAGACAAGGAGCCCAGAATTCTGGTGACCCTTGAAGCCCTGGCAAAGGTCAGGGCTATGCACCCTCTGGATAGTCCAGACAATGGTAGCTGAAGCAACTTCCCCACCAGATAGTCATGTAAATCCTTACTGATAAGATAGTCTGTCTGTTATTGGAAATTGTCTGCTTAAGGGCTATAGGTGTATCCCAAACTGAACAAAAGGATGGCAAGGCCTGAGCACAAGCAGAGTCTATCCTCTTGGGATGGGGTCTCACCTGGCCCCCCAATTTCCAACTTATTATTACTTGTCTTATCTCTTTCATTTGCATACAGCCCCTCTTCCAGAGCCTGAACCCTGAACCATGTGGGACATGGGACATTCACAATTATCATCCTCCTATATAATAAAAGAGAAACATGCAAATTAACTGTCCCTCTGCTACACACAAGCCACACCCACCAGCCACGTCCACCAGCCAATCAGGAGCGAGTATGCAAATTAACTCAGCTAAGATGGTGGCGGCCTCGGAGCTGAAGCAAGCAGGAGGCTTGGGTTGCTCCCAGTGATGGAGGAAGCCAAGCTTCCCGCCTGCCCTGGCCAGCCCTGGGCTCTGCTCAAGGTTACAAAGTTTCAATTATAAATGATAAATAATCCCAGATTCCTGCTTCCAGCCAGACCTGGGCTCTGCTCAAGGCTACAAAGTTTCAATCATAGAAGATAAATAAGTCCCAGAAAAAGAAAAAAAGGAGAGGCTGGGAGCTTGGTCACCAGACTGGCCAGGCACCCCAGTGGGGACCCCCCACCCTAAAGGTGGTATGGCCAGGCTGAAAACAGCCATCAGCCCCTCACCCAGGTTGGCCATGCACCCAGTGGCACCCCAGTGGGGACCCCCACCCTGAAGGGCAAACCAGACAGCCCCCACCCATTCACCAGGCCTCGATCCTATATAATAAAAGGGTAATATGCAAACTGACCCTAACAGCAGAAAGACTGGGAATGACTGGTCACTATGACACACACTGACCAACAGGGGGCAGACGCTCAATGCAGGAGCTGCCCTCTGGTGGTCAGGGCGCTCTCACATGGGAGGAGCTCTGCTCAGCCACAAACAAGGCTGACAGCTGCCAGCACAGTGGTGGTGGCGGGAGCTTCTCCTGCCTCCTCAGCAGCGCTGAGGATGTCTGACTGCAGCTTAGGTCTGCTCCCCACTGGCAAGTGGACAACCTGTGAGGGCTCCAGGGTTGCCAGAGGGATGTCTGACTGCCAGTTTAGGCCCGATCCCCCAGGGAATGGACCTAAGCCAGCAGGTGGACATCCCCCAAGGGGTCCCAGACTGTGAGAGGGCACAGGCCGGGCTGAGGGACCCCCCGAGTGCACAAATTTTTGTACACCGGGCCTCTAGTTATAATATAAATAAGCTTTATATATATATATATATATATATATATATATATATATATATATATATATATATAATCAGTTTATATATTGACCACGGTTTTGCTTAAGAAATTTTTTAAAATGTATCTTTCTTTACTTGTTTTTATATGCTATTAAAAAGAGAGAGAGAAAGAAATTTTACCTTTTATAGAAGATCTCAGTGTAGAAAGAAGTCAGCTAATCAATTTCTTATAAAGAGAAATAGATGCAGCAAAGCAAACACAAAATTCCAATTTTTAGTCACTAGGAGCCATACCCGAAATGTATACAGAAATAAACATCTCATTTAAACATACTGATGTTACAGTCACAAAACAAAATATTTCAGGAGGGCTTGGTTCATCTCTTACTGTGTGTGATAATTTTTAGTAGAGGCCCAAATGCTGTTGTGTATTAAATGAAGAAAGAGAAACATATGTTAATATAATAACAATAGCTTTTTTTTTCTCCTTGTGAGAGAAAAATCTCAAGTGACTTTTCTTGGTTACTTTGGGTGATGGACCAATCCTGGAATGTTGGAGGGAGAATATAGCACAGGGTGTTAAGGAAATGTGGATGGAACTGATGTTCCAACCAATGCGCTAAAAATATCTTCCTGCTAGGAATTCCTTTTTTATCAAAAGACATGGGGGCCAGTTTCCCATCCTGGGAGTGCCTTGCGTTCTCTGGGAAGCAGTCTAGCCTTTTTGTATGCAAAACCTTTATTGTGCCTTATCTGGAAATCTAAATAAAAAGTGCTACTCAATTAAAAGATGCTTGAAATCATCTATCTTTGAAATGGAGAATACAGCTGTGATATATATGGCCTAACATGTTTTGAAGAAAACCAAATAGTCACACACACAAAAAAGCTTATTTATACTCTCCTGGAGGAAAGAGGAAATCATTTGAGAACAAATATTTTGCAGAGGAAGCCAGTCACAAATCTTACCTCATCAATTCTAAACCATAAAAAATGATCCTCAAGCTGTAGGTTATAAACTTAAGCAAAAAACATTTTGCATATGAGAAGAGAATTTCTTAGACCTGCTCTCAAGGCAGGTCTGTTGTCATTTATCTTTATTTAATGAAACTTCCAAAGACTAGAAATACAATTCTCTTCTTTATAGGTTTGTATTTATTTTAAAAATACTGTGCTAGAAACTGAAGAATAATAACAATAATTTAATTTTATCAAATGCTATATTACAGGTTCTTATTAGAGTACTTCTTATTATTAACTTATTAAACCATCATAAACACCTGATAAAGTAGGCACACTTGGCATTAATATTTTTTAGATAAGGCAACCTGCCTGAGATTGCAAGAAGAGCTCAGTGGCAAAGGCAAGCTTTAAAACCATGCCAACTGCCTCTACATCCATGTTTGTAACCACTGTGCTGGTTTACCTATGACTTTTTAAAAGATAATTAATTCTTCATTTTTCTACCTTGTTGATGAGATTTTATATTTATTGTAAAGCAATGGTTGTCAATTTTCCTTTTCAAAATGTTTCAGTTGAGTGCATGTCCTGTATTCCTCTTTTGTTTATAACTTTGTGTGTGTTTTTAATCACACATGATAAAAAAAAATAATAATTACAATTTTTTTTTTACCCAAAGGAAAAAAGTTATGGAAGAGCTATTGGGATCAAAAATTAATATTTGCATTATTTTTTTTTTTTTGTAATGCAGTTATCTTACCCTTATAGTAACATTTTAAAGGTTGAAACTCAGGATTTTTGTTGAAGAATGAGAAGGAAAACTCAACTCCTTGCATTTCCAGTTCCCACAAGTTTGCTTCTTTCTCTTTATAGCACTCGCTCCTGTGCTGATTAGAGTTTTAAGAGGTTTGTTGATTAATTCCAAGTGATTCATACAGGGGACCTTAGCATTTTTCTTATTCCCTGAATAGATTAAGGGCTTCTGCGTGGGGACAAATAAGAAAAAATACTGTCTGTGGAACCTTGCCCAGGTTGGCTGGTGAGGAGGAGAAAAGGAGCTCTAACAGCTAAAACGAGTAACTGATTTATCCAAAAATGGAAGAACCTTCTGTCAACAACAAAAATGGGCAAGTACCTAGTTAGACCACCATGGAAGAACTGCACTATTTCCTTTAATTAAATAAATATTAATACTTGACTTTAATAGCATTTGGGATACTTTCTAATCGCTAAATTGCACATAATTCAGTCATCCAAGTTAGAGCATAATCTAATAAAAATTATACATTTTATTGTTCCTTTCTGCTTCAAATTCAAGAGAGGGAAGGAGAGAATATGCTTGTGCTATAATGTTATGAATGTAAGAAAGTGTTGTAATTTCCAACAGATACACTATTATTTTTTGGTGTTTTTACTACTTAAGTTCATCAGATACTAGCTTTAGTAAATAAATAGGTAATGGCATAGCAGAGGATTTTTTTCTCCAAAGCTAATCTTCAGCAACTGCAAAACACATTTTCCTGCATTCACTTCATTTGATAAATTTGTAAACATGTCATTCCTTTTTGTACCCTTATCTCTCCCAACTATTGATGCCAAATTTATATGCTACCACTCGAAGCAGACTTTTAGAAAGAATAAATGGAAAGACCCTTAAATGTACCTGTTTTGTCAGAGTGATGTGCCCCTGTTACTGTGATGGCTCTGCTTGTGTTCTGCATTTCCCCAGAGTGCTAGGAGTTTGGAACATCTGGCCACAAGGACAGAAAAAATTATTGTCCACTGAGGCCTTGAACAGATCCAATCCTTTCCTGGTAGCAGAGCATTCTCATTCATGCCTGGGATAGACTGGGATCCCGTCCTGCCTTGGAAAAGGATGCAATACACTGGTGATGACCAAGCAGATGTGGTTTGGGGAGGGAAGGTTCTGCTCATTCCTGTCTCTGGCATATCATGGGGATTTGGTGGCTTTTGGATATTCCAAAGATGCCACAATCACTGTTTCTAAGAGAAGGGGACTCTTTCTTAATCAACTAAGCAGGACTGTGATGAAAGGGTGAGAAATATGAGCATGGAGTTATGGTACCTCCTGTGGGGCATCAAGAGACAAACCATAAACATGAAGATAAGCCCTATGGTAATAACCAATGGGAACCTTACTTTGAGATGTTTCACATGCTTTTTGATGATTTCTAACTTTTACATTTATCCAGGCTGTCCTTCCCAAGCCTTGAAACTAACACTAGGATTTAGGGACAATTCTTCAGGAAATATGTGCCAATCCTTCTTGTGACAGCCAGTGAAGTAGGGAAGATGGAAAGATGTCTGTCTAGGAAAGTACAGTCAAAAAATTGAATTGAATTAAGGAGAGCAAATTAAGTTTCTTATTTGACATCTGTGACAGTAATATAAAGATGAATTTAAAAATCAATAAAAAATATAATTTTAGGTAATTTTTCAATCCCGGCAAACAGGAGAATATCATCAACCCAATATTAAAATAAAGCCAAAGTCTTACTGACACTAGTTTTTATTTTCTAATATTAATATTAGGAAATATTAATATTAGAAAATATAATAATACTAGAGGCCAAGTGCACAGATTTGTCCAGGGCCTGTCCAGCCTGTCTTGCCCGGTCCCAATCAGCCGGATCCCAGGAGCAAACTAACCTACCGGTTAAAGCATCTGCCCCCTGGTGGTCAGTGTGCATCATAGTGATTAGTTGAACAATCAAATGAATGGTTGAACACTTAGCATATTAGGCTTTTATTATATAGAATTTTCTAATCATTTTATTTCTAATCAGGATTATAGCTTTCTGATGCTGTTAATATTAGCCTAAACATTAGATAAATGCTTTGCCTAGGTGTCAGTATTAGGCACGAACAAAATAATTTTTTAAAGGAAAAAAAGAGATAAAAATACATATTCATGATAAATAATCATATACATATAAATTATGAATATGTATATAACATAAATACATATACATTCCTTAGAATTCCCAAGCAATTATAAATATGGTGCTAGTGTTGCTGTCTGGAAGGAGCTAATAGACTGATTCTTAGTTATTATAACACTCAATTCTCAGTTCTGGAAAATATTGTCTTGTAATTTTAAAAAGTTTCTTTATGAATACACAGTTTCTGATGTTTAATAACACAAACTTACTTTTAGTTAGTGTTTTGTTTTTAATAGGTAAAGGTGTTTTACAATATGCAAGCCTATTCACTCGGTTAAAATTCTTTACACTGATGAAATACCACAATCCCAGTTTCTGAAGTTGGTCAGTGTCTGGGAGGACCTCTACTTTTCTTTCACACCAGCTGCAGGGGCAGGTGGGGAGGAGAGCCAGGCTGCTCCAAGCACCTGCCACACATTCATTCTGGGTGCCCAGGCCTAAGGGTTCCCTTTAGGACATTCAGATCAGTGGGGTAGGGCTCCCTTGGCCACAGTCTGCTGGCTGCCTCTGCCTTTGCCACCACCTCCTACTGCCCTGGAAGCACCCCCAGAATGCTGTGAAAACCCTCTGGCAGTGGGCTGCGTGGGTCCCACCAAGCAACAGTGTCAGGAACTTGGTTGTTAACTTGGCTGGGATTTATGCAGAGTGGATCCAAACCTCTGAGGATCACCAGAAACCAAGGTCTGGCTGGGCCCTGCAGCGCTCCTGAGACCCCAAGCCCTAGTGATGCTTCCCCACGCCCCACTGCGTGTTGGCTTGCCAGCTGTCACTGTGTGGACTGTGTGGTCCCCGAGTGTCCTGTGGTCCAATTTGCCCGCAGTCGCGGGGAGGCTGAAGGCGAACGAAACTGGAGAAATTAAAGACCACACTGCAGAACCAGCGCAGGGCTGCACAGCGAGACGGCTGCCTGCACCCCTTGGATATGAGATCTTGGGCCCTTTCCTCAAAGCATGGTTTCCATTCCTACCTGATGTGGTCACCTTTGTTTCACAATTAGTATTTTACATTTAAATTGCTCAGTTCCGCCCTAACCAGTTTGGCGGATAGAGCATCGGCCTGCAGGCTGAAAGGTCCCACCCAGGTTAGATTCCGGTCAGGGGCATGTACCTTGGTTGCAGGCACATCCCCAGTAGGAGGTGTGCAGAAGGCAGCTGATCGATGTTTCTCTCTCATCGATGTTTCTAACTCTCTATCCCTCTCCCTTCCTCTCTGTAAAAAATCAATAAAATATATTTTTTAAAAATTGCTCAGTTCCATATGAAGGATCCTCGGTTAACAGGAAGATCCAAACATTGGACTGAGGGCTGAGGAGAACGCACTGAGTCACCTCTCCTGAGGCTGCACTGCAGGAACTCACCCCGAGGACCCTTACCCAGGCCCCACGCACACCCCGGGCGGCCTCTGAGAACACAGGTCACTTCTGCTGACCCACCACAGTAGCACCTCTCACTGGCTTAGCCCTTATGTTAGTGCTAAATTAAGAACAAAAATAATAAAAGTGAACGTGTATCTGGCCTACTCTAAGGTAAGTTGGTGTTAAGTAGTTTGTCCATATGTGATAAATGTACTCAGGATAAGTTCTCTTAACCATATGATTAGCTAATTCTTATTTACATTATAATCCTTAATGTATGTGCTCATCCACTTTATTCAGCCAATGCAGATTAGCTGGGGAACTAGAATATTAATGTGGGGAGACAGATGGAGGAAGGTTGGTAGAGACAAGATAGAGAAGTCATTTTCAAACAGATGAAGCAGAAAAAAGAGAAATCCAGACCTGTGTCACCCTACAGGACAGCATACATGTTTGTTTTTTAAAATGACACGGTATTTTCAAGGTAAGTTTGTTTCAATTATCATTTAGAAATTTGTCTTAGATAAATTTCCATCCTAAGGGATAAAAGTGAAGAAGAAAAGATAACTACCTTAAATAGGTAAGAAATAGGTAGGAACAGTTCCTTCTCCTGAAAAATAGATTACGCACCGTGTTTATAATCAGTGTCATTTTTATATGTAAATTTTTCTAATTGAATATGCTTCAGGGAGGAAAACAGCTTTCTTATTAATCATGAAGACCTTTCACCTCTCTATCCCTAAACTAGGAATTAAACTCACCAACAATTTTTTTCACGTTTCTACTTGGTCCTGAGTGCTCCTTCTGCTTCTCCACTTCCTGCCATCTAGCAACTCAGAGTCTTGCCAACCTGGATAAACACAATTAGGAGAATTTATTTTCAAAATGTTGTATTTGGAGAAAACAGCACTCATTGACTGCGCCAGTGTTGGAACGTTACCTCTTAAACTGCCAAAGCAGACACAGCATTTTTGTTAAGGTTATCTGTAGAGCTTTACTCACGAGGCAAAACATGTCACATCCTCTTACGTAACACCTCAAAGTTCACGACCTTTTCTCAAAGGTCCCTTTTTCCATGTAACAGCTCTCATTATTGTCTCTAGGGTATATATTATTACAGCCTTGGCAAAAGATTGTACTCTGGCTCATTCCCTAATTCCCTAAGGAAAAGTATGACATCTTTTTTGTTCTGATGACATACAAAAATGTACCTCTCTTCAGTGTCCCCAGGCCCTCTTTTCTCCATTTGCTCACAGTTAAATTTAACCTCTTTATCGTTTCAGCCTCTATGACATTTTTTAATTGATTGATTTTAAGAGAGAGAGGAAGTGGGAGAGAGAGAGAGAAAAAAAAACCAACAACAACAACACATCAATTTGTTGTTCCACTTATTCATGCATTCATTGGTTGATTCGTTAATGTGCTCTGACTGGGGATCGAGCCTATAGCCTTGACATATGGCGACGACACTAACCAACTGAGTTACCTAGCCAGGATTATGACATTTTATTTAAAATTCTATTATAGTATTTTAATATTGAATAATAATTATTTTATTTTATAAATATTTATTAAGGCTTTATTCTGAACCAGGCAATTAGACATACTAGTATAATGAATATGAACTAAATAAGTAAACATTCATGCACTCACAAAGATTTATGATTTAGCAGGGGACTCAGACAATGGACAAGGCAACATAGTGAGAAGTATGCTATAATAGAATAAGGACAGTGACTGAGAGCAGCCATGGGGAGGACCTCAGGGAGGAAGTAATAAGAGAAGACTTAATTGAAGAGATTATTTATAAGTTGAAATTTATCAATGATGAGAACATTGTCAGGTAAAGAGCTAAGGTGTGGAAGCTGGAAGTGACTGCTGGGTGGAAAGGGAAGACATTTTAGACAAGGGGAACATCATGTTCAATGTCAGGGAGTAGAACAGAGAATGGTAAAGAAAGCAGCTCAATACAGCAGAAGGCAGTTTGAAGGAGAATTGCTGGGAGAAATGAAGCTGAAAAGGAAAGCAGGGGCCAGATCACAAAGATGTTAGTGCCAGCAGTTCTCAACTTGTGGGTTGCGACCCCTTTGGGGGTCGAACGACCCTTTCACAGGGGTCGCCTAAGAAAACACATATATATTTACATATTGTTTTTGTGATTAATCACTATGCTTTAATTATGTTCAATTTGTAACAATGACATTGGGGGTCACACAACATGAGGAACTGTATTAAAGGGTCGCAGCATTAGGAAGGTTGAGAACCACTGTGTTAGACCATCTAAGGGAGTTTAGATTTTATCCTGGACAGAGTGGAATCACTGAAGGGTTTTAGACTGAGAATGACAGGATTTGGGTTGTATTTTAGAAAAATTACTGCTATAGATGGAATACCCCCCCCCCCACACACACACACACACCCCAAATACATTTGTTAAAACCTATTCCTCAATATGACAGTATTGGGAGGTGGACCTTTGGGAGATGATTGGATCACAGGGGCAGAACCCTCATGCATGGGATTAGTACCTTTATAAAAGAGTCCCAGAGAGCCCTGGCTGGTGTGACTCAGTTGGTTGGACATTCTCCCATGCACCGAAAGGTTGCCAGTTTGATTTCCCATCAGGGCACATGCCAAGGTTGTGGGTTCAGTCCCCTGTAGGGGGTATGCAGGAGGCAGCTGCTCACTATTTCAGCTCTCACATTGATGCTTTTCTCTCTCTCTCTCTCTCTCTCTCTCTCTCTCTCTCTCTCTCTCTCCCCCTCCTCCTTCCTCTCTCTAAAAATCAATTAATATAATCTTTTTTTAAAGAGAGATCCCAGAGAGCTTTCTTGCCTTTTCACCATGTGAGGACACAGTGAGAAGACAGCCATCTTTGAACCAGGAGTGGACTTTCACCAAATTTATTGGCCTTTATCTTGGACCATGAAGCCTCAGAACTGTGACAAATAAATTTCTATTGTTTATAAGACACCCATACTATGGTAATTTGCTATAACTGACCAAACAAACTAAGATAATTGCTTTATCTGCAATAGTGCAATCAAATTAAAGGTCTGAAGTCAGAGAAATCTTTTGGGAGGTTGCTGGAGTTGTTGAGGTGATCTTAATGGTAACTTGAGCTCAGGCTGTGAGAGTATGAATAGAAAAAAATGGATGCTCCACAGAATTATTTAGAAGATAGCACCTTGAGAAAATGGTGATTGCCTCTATGTTGGGCAATTGAGTTGGTCATTGGATGCCATTAACTAAAGTGGGATCACAAAAGGAGAAACCAGTTGGGAAAGAGACAATGAGTCAAGATTGGATATGTCAGGTTTTAAGTGTAGAATATTGACAATGTCCAGGAATAAGGAGAAGGAGGAGGAGGAGGAGATAAAGAAGAAAAAAGGAGGAAAAGGAGGAGGAGGAGGAGGAGGAGGAGGAGGAGGAGGAGGAGGAGGAGGAGGAGGAGGAGGAGAAAAACTCAAAAGAAATATCTAGGGTGGATTTATAGTTTGGAAGTTAATAGCAGAAAAAAAATTGAAGGCACAGGAGACAGTCAGATTGTTTAAGGAAAATGTAGTGTAGGAAAACTAAGATGTCCCAGGAAAGACATCCCTTTGAGTCATTACCTCTTATATGTTGATTTATTTATGTCACACTTATTGGGTACAATTAGTTAATTGTGTGTAATTACCCAATAAAAATAATTATGTGAGTTGCTATGGAAGGAAAATATAATACATTCTATAAAGACCTATTTTCAATGAACTTATATTTAAGTTTTAAATAAATTATCAACAATGAGGCAATACTACAATAAAAAAAGAAATACAAATAAAATTTAGCATTAATACTAAAGTGTCAGATGAATAGGACTGACCAAAGTTGTGATGTTTAGGTAAGAGATAAACTTTTGGGGAATGTAGCATCCTGAAAAAGCTGATGAAGCCTTAGCAGGCTCCTGAAATCTGGGTAATCATGTTAAAGTAACTGCATAAAGCTGAGAATGTGGAGGAGTGTTTTGAGAGAGCTTGAGATCATCATGGTTGCAATTGAGGAACCAGAGAGGAGTAAAAAGAGACGTGGCTGAAAAGATTGGGACCAGACTGTGAACTCTTGCTTATCTACCTTCATCACCCAAGGAATCTTTGGCCAAGGAAGGACAGCATTCTTTTCTACTGAGTATGAAAGACGCTGCCTCAAAGTTCTTTTTAACCTTGTTTTTGGTCAGTGGTTCTCAAAGCAGGATCTGCAGATCACTGAGAGCCCTTGCTTCTCCTTCAAGGAGTCTACAAGGTCAAACTACTTTCACAATAGTAAAAAGATATCACTTCATTTTTCACTATATTGACCTTTTCACTGAAAGGAAAAGTGCTGGCACCTTAGCGCAAATCAAGGCAGTGCAACAAAACTGTTGTGATAATTGAATTCTTGAACTCAATGCACTCACAGAGGAAAATCTAAAGCTGGTTTCAATTAAGAGGCAGTAAAATAATTCATTTTACTAAATCTTTGAGTTCATGTCTTTAGGAAGTCATGGGGTCCAGCTGGCATGGCCCAGTGATTGAGCATGTACTAATGAACTAGGAGGTCATGGTTTGATTCTGGGTCAGGGCACATGCCAGGGTCATGGGCTCAATCCCCAGTGTGGGGCATGCAGGAGGCAGATGATCATTGATTCTCTCTCATCATTGGTGTTTCTATCTCTCTTTCCCTCTCTCTCCCTCTCTGAAATCATTAAATACACACACACACACACACACACACACACACACACACACACACATATATATATATTTTAAAAAGAAGCCCACTGGCTAGCATGGGAATTACAAATAAAACATTTCTACAGCCTACAGAAGTATGATGGTCTCAGAGAAAATCACTAGTGTTAATAAGTTGTGAGTTAAACTAGTTGCTTTTTTCATGGAACACCATTTTTACTTGAAAAATGTAAAATAATGCCTGGCCAGTGTGGCTCAGTGTTTGGGTGTCAACCTGTGAACCAGAAGGTCACAGTTCGATTCCTGGTCAGGGCACATGCCCAGATTGCAGGTTTGATCCCCAGTGTGGGGTGTACAGGAGGCAGCCAATCAATGATTCTCTCTCATCATTGATGTTTTTATCTCTCTCCTTCTCCCTTCCTCTCTGAAATCAATTTTTTAAAAAGTGAAATAATGGCACACTTCTAACTAAATGTTGTTTTGTTTTGAAAGAAATTTCCTTTGGAAAATATAGTTATTTATGCGTTACTTATGCTCTCATGTAATGGGTTCTTTTTATTTTAAATAAATGAATACAGGGTGGGGCAAAACTAGGTTTACAATGTTCATAAGGAAAATAATATAATCATTAATAAATAAATAATAATACAAGAATAAACTCTGTGTTTCATGTACTTACAACTTAAGCCTAACATTTGTCCCACCCTGTATTTTAAAAAATTATTCTGTTTTATTTCCTGAAACAGCATATCCCATAGTCAAAACTCACACCAACTAAAGATCTTTGGGGACTTCAATATTTTAAGAGTGAAAAGAATTCCTGAGACCTAAAAGTTTGAGAACTGTTGCTCTAGGTCACTAAAGGTTGTTATATAAGTTTAGTGATACACTGAAAGTGTTAAACCACTATTTCTTACACTTATATAGTATCTTATCATTTAAAAGGGCCCTCACATCAAATAATTTGAGCTACATTGGTTAGGAATCTGAGATTCAGAGTGGTTAAGTAGCTTAAAAAGATAACATTGCTAGGAAAGTGTGAAAACTAAGACTAGTTCTGACTCCCAGTTCAATGCTTCTTCCACTATATCTATTTATCTCTGCTTTAGATTAAACATACTTTTCCGTACT